GTAAAAGACTGGGCCTGTTCTGTGGCTTGCCCCGAACTGGCAGCCACAGGGGCTGAGGAGGAAGCAGCACTGGAAGAGGACCCTACAGAGGCCGCCAGAGCAGCGAGCACTTTGCTGCCACACAGTGCACAGGAGAGCAGCTGCAGCAGCACTGGGGACACCCCTTCATCCACGAGGAAACTGACTTGGAGCAGGAAGTACAGGACAGCTGCAGACAGAGGACGCGGCAGCTCAGTTCTCGGGTGACTACGACTACTGAAGATGCAGCACACACCAGAGCCAACCCTATTCCCACCCACTTTCTTTCCCAAGTTCTCTCGCTGGGCAGGGCTAAGAGATTATACCCCAGATGGAAATATCTGAGAAGCATTATGACTGCTAAATACAGACTGGATTCAGGCCCTACTCCCTGATAAGGGACTGTCTAGATGCCACCTGCTTCTCTTTAGCCTACGGCCCCAACCTGGAGGTCAGATATGCCTACTTGATGTTCCCCTAGCACCCCACACTTTGACTCTTAGCCCTCACTGCCCTTCGAAGTTTCTCCCCCCAAAAATTATTTATCTAATTTTATTTATTATTCTTTCTTTTTTTTCCTTTTTAAATTTGTCAAAGGACACATGCACTCACCAGAGAGAGACAGAAAGAGAGAGGGAAAGTGGGGAAAGTGAGGAAAAAAGCCACCAGGCCCAGGAGTCAAACCACAGTTAGCCATGTAGGAGCTCAGTGCCTCCACCACCAGGCCTCCTGCCGGCCCCTCCCTTTGACGTTTATACTTGTTTTCTTCGCTAGGTATAGTTCTGGCTACGTATCTGGCTCGGGGCTCTCTCTCCAGCACACATGAGGCCCCAGTAACAGTTGCTGAGGGGCTGAATAACTGCCAATAATAAAAACCAACCGGAGCAGCCCTACTTACAGTCGTCTTTGATGCAGAACTTCTGCCAGTTGACGGTCCGCTGGGCAGCAATCTCTGCACAGGCTTTCAGGTGCTCCATCTGAAACAGACGTGAGTAACTCCATTAGACCAAACAAGCACCACACCTGCTGCCGAGATCTGGGACTGCAAGCTGAACATGGTCTCGTGTTGTTTTGTTTGTTTGTTTGTTTATTTGTTTGCGGGGGGAGGGGAGGAGTTTGGGCCATAGGGTGTGTGAACATGCCACAGAGAAAGATAAAGAGGGAAAGTGAGAAATCGCTTTCTGAGGGAATGGCCACACCACAATCCCTTCTCTTCCATTATCTTCTCAGGATTTGGGGCATGTACACATAAGCGACTGGTGTGATTTTTTTTTTTTTTTTTTGGAGAGGTTTTCGTTATAGGGCGCGTGCGCTCACCAGACAGACAGAGACATAGAGACAGAAAACGAGAAATCATCCCCCAGGGGGGATGGTCACGCCGCAATCCCTTCTCCTCCATTCTCCTCTCGGGATCTTGGGCACGTACACACACGCACCCAGCGTAAGTTCTAAGCCACGAGGTCCGAACCGCGGTCGACTACGTGGGAATCCAGCAACATGGCCATTACGCTAACTGCTGGTTCCCCCGGCGTGATTTTTAATCCACTGGATCCAGGACTCAAACCATGGTTGGCCATGTGGGAATCCAGTGCCTTAACCACCACCCCACCTGCTGGTCCTGAACGTGGTCTTCCGTTCAAGGCAGGTACTGCTGGGATCTCTCAGGAAGCTGAGACCAAGGCCTCTATTTCCAGGGACCCTTCAGACCACTCAGTGAGGAGCAGCACAGGTAGGCCACAACCTGAGAAACTGCAACACAGTTTCCTTTTGTTCTTGCTACATCACAAGAACAGCAGCTGAGCAAGCTAGGGGTCATTAACGTGGAAGACTTTCTTTCTGGACGTGCATATGCAAAATACTCAATTTAATCCCCTAAGTCTTTAGGGAATACTACACTTTATGCCCTGACCTTCATCATTTCTTTAGCATTTAAGGACAAAAACCGGAACGTAGAGATTTCAGGTTGATGCTGTCTATGACGTCAGTGAATGACACTGGTAAGAAGCTCAAGCCACTCCACTTCACACTGGAGGAACCGCTGCCAAGTGAGCAGAGTATTGAGGGGACATCCCTGCCCCTGATGCCAACTGTACACGGTATAGCACCCAGTCAGATGCTGTGGACCCTGGTCTCAATCCAGGCCATCTTCAAAAGCCCTACATGCCCTCTCTCACCACCTACATGCGGCAGCCTCTCACACGTGCCCCGGCCTCCCCATATCCCCGGCCCCCGTACCAGGCTGATGAGTGTGTCATACTGCAGGGCAGAACCTGAGCTGGCTGTGACCACGCTTGCCCGAAGGAATATTCCCTGCTCTTCTAGCAGCTTCTTGATCCCACGCACGTGGGAATCCAGGGTGTGTAAATCCCGGAGTTGGCGGTACTTCTCCTTTGAGCCACAGATGAAGAGCAGAAGTTTGCGGACTTGGCGGCGCACGAATGGCGTCTGCTGGATCATCAGGTACTTCAGAGGGTGACAAAACAGAGCAGTAACTAGATCTGGGTCTGTATCAGAGTGACTCTCGAACCCAGGGCTTTGTTACTAGAAAGCTAGTGAGAAAAGCAAATCGAGCTACTTTCTCTCAGCCAAGCCAGCTTCTGGTAAATGTAAGTATTCCTTAAACGGCCCAGGAGAAAGAAAGGCAAAGACAGAAATGAAAGAGGAAAAAAGAGCATTATCCACACTCCCCTTCCTGAGTACTTATGAAGCTACAGGGAAGCTGGCCTTCACTCCACCTACCCAAACAAAAGCCCTAAATATAGAAAAAACCATTTGAAATCTCTTTTCAGGTGTAAGAGCTGGGGAAGAGGCTGGGTTAGTACAGCTACACTATTCAAAATGGTCATTTGAAGTTTGCCCACAGATTATTCTCCCATTCTTCCCAGAGTTGGCCTCGCGCTTGCTACGCTGGCTAGTACCCTACTCTCTCGCCCACCACACTCTGCTCCACCACGCAGCTCGGAACCATACTGACAGCCTTGCTTCTTTGCCAGCTGGCTCCCTCTTAGCTTCTGCCAAAGGAAACACTGGAGGAAAACGGGGCAGGAAGAAGGGGCTTGCTCCTTGCTTCTGCCTACAGTCCCACCAACAGTCCTGCTCCCAGTTCCAGTGCGTCTCATGACCTGCTTCTCTCAGTGCTCCCGCCATCGACCACATCACACCCCCAGAGCTCCTGAGGCACTGACAGCAGCGGCTTCTCAGAGACCATGCCCAGGATCCAGAGCCGCCAGACCTCTCCTCTTCAGACACTGGCTCCTAACGACCGCTCCTTGCAGTACTACTCCTGGGTATACCAACAATTCTGTCTTTCTGGCTCACCAAGAGCTGTCTAACTAATTCCCCACACTGAAAACTCTCCGAGCTAGCAAGCGTACTTTCCGTTTTCCTGACAGAACCCTGGCTATTAAACTTGTCCATCCCCACATGTGGGTCAAGCACAGAAACAGACTAAAGGGGAGGGCCAGCTCTGATACACGTCTTTCCCAGTGCTACACAGGAAGTTCTGTGGGCAGGGCCATGACCTACAGAGGGGAGTGGGACTCTGTAAGGGAAATATTAGACAAGGATTATGACGAAGGGGAACCACAAAGGTGACTACAGACTGGCATACATCTCGGGATCTTCACTTACCTCTGAGAGAAAGTAAAACCACGAATGATCAAAGACAGGGGGTGGGATTCGAGAATTGGTGTCAGCAATCTTTTTGATCTGGTATGGCAGCCTCAAGACCATCTCTGTCAGAAGCTGAGTATAGGCCTCAAACACATCAGCAGCATGACCCTGAGGAAGAATATCTGTGTGAGCAACTGTGATTGCCAATTTGCAGGACCACGATGGAAAAAGGAAAAAGGCTGGCTTATTGCTCTCCAGAAATGCTACACAATGGAGCTGGTGTACTACCTTCCAAAGCTGAACCATCACTACCCATTGGCTCAACACAGAAGGCCCCAGGTTCCTGGAGCAATTTAACTATATGCAAAGGTTAAGTGGAGACAGATCTCACAGCCTGTAAAAGTTCCAACATTTCACTCTGATTCTTAACACTGGGTCATTTGTACTCTGCTTACACAAAAATTACAGAAAGACTGGCCAAGATAATGAAAACTAGAAGTGGTTAAGGATTTTGAACTTGTGAGCATCCTGTTCCCAAGAACCACACTTCCCATGCTAACAAGAAACCTATCAGTTAACCACGAGCACCAGGATCACGAAACTCAGTGAAGATCCCTATGGTCACCCTGCACAGAGAGGCGGGGACGCGAGACCTGGCAAGGGCAAAACCACAGTCCGCAAGCTGTGGTCCCACAGGAAGAACTCAGAGGGTGTGAGGACATAGTGCGTCTCATGTATTCAGTCCCCAGACGCTCGTCGATTCTGCACCAAGCGTTTGAGACATAAATAGAAATAAGATAGGGTCTCTGCTGAGACTCTGCAGGGGAAGGCAGACAGTTTGATTCCCAAAGAGCAGAAGGTCGTTTATTAAATCATGCTGACAGTCAAACTACCCAGGGATGCCAACTCCCCTGTGGCTCCTCACCCTTCGGTCCTACAGCTCTACTCCCTGAGAATGAAGAGAAGCGTGCTCTGAGGGGCAGAGCACTAATGGAACTGCCAGCCCCTTTAACCCCTCCACTGAAGGGGCCATTTCCTGGGCCTGGGTAAGACCTTACCTTCACATACTGGCGGAGAAAGAATGGGCTCATGTCGGGTGGAGATGAAGTGGTATGTGGTTTCAGCAACTGGCTGGTCGCCACTGGTTCCTCATCATTCTGCTGGCTCTTCCAATACTCCAGCAGTGACTTGAGCACATGCAGGCAGTAGTCCACAGCCCCAGAGCTCAGCAGGGCTGCTGCTGTGGCACTGGAGATGAGGGAGGACGACTGGAAGGGAGAAACAAATGCACAGGTGGTAAGACGGTCCTGTGAAAACCAGCCAGAGGAGTAGGGATAGAGAACATACTCAGGATGTAGAATAGCTGTTAAGGAAGCAAGTTAATCAGTCTCCTGCATTAAGTTTCCCAAGTTGAATCATTTCCCTAACTCTTTGCATAGTAAGAGAAAACAAAGGAACACCCATTCTCAACTCTAACCTTCCCACACAGAAGTGCCAGAGGCCAGGAAGGTAAGGAATAGATAACCTTTCCCCCTGGAGGGAATGGGTTTTCTCCTTTTCCTTGGGCAACTAGTAAAGAAGCCCCATTACAAGGAGAGAGGAAACTTTCCACTAAAGATACTTAACAATCCCACCCTCCCGAAGGGGCTCTTCGGTGGAACCAGCTTCCAAATGAGATAGGAGTGAGTGATCACATGCATAAAAAAGTAGGAGAAAAGCTACTGTAAATAAGACCATTAGGAGAGCCTTGCAAATCCCAGCAAACTCCACAGCTCCTAAGCTCATTAAGATTGGATGCAGTTCAGCCTCAATTTCTACCTTCTCTGCTTTGTGCTAATCTCCTTTCACCACACACACTTCGCTTTCTCTCTGCTTTATTACCATACCTTATAGCAGCGTATACTAGGGGAATCCTCTTAGCCACTCTGTGCCTTGCAGAACGGGCCCCTGCTTTCAATAATGGAACTGCCAGCCCCTTTAACCCCTCCACTGGAGAGATTGTTGGCAAAGACCAAGGCTTGGAAGGGATTCTGAAAAAGGTGGAGGATCTGCTCGTGGAGAGGTGACAGCTTAGAATCTTACTCTCATCAGACCATGGTGGCCTTATTCTAATGAAGGACTATCACCTCTGCCCCAGCCCTAGTACTGACCAGACAATCCTCTTCCCTTTTCCCAAACCCTAAGCCCAGATACCTCACAAATGGAAGACTTGGATCCAGATTTGGTGCGGGACATGAAGACACTCAGGAGTCTCATGACTACCAAATGGACTTCATTCAGGGCGCTGCGCTCGTTCTTCTTGGACACATCCTGCAGGCAGAGGCGGAAGCCTATCATTATTTTAAGCATGAGGCATCCTCTGAACAAGATTCCTTTAAGTCTGTCAGTACTACATGTTCCACAGATGACGTCAGAGACAAAATAGGCTCATGTGTATCTGTGAGCTGTACACTTGGCGGTCATTTAAGATACAACTAATTTAACGTCATCACCTCAACGAGTGATGAAACGCCCATGAGTACAGGAACTTTGCCTTGTTCGTAATTTATGCCCAGGATCCAAAAGTACGCCTGTGCAAAACAGCCACTGAACAGATTTTTGTTGAATCAACAGAACTAGAGCCCTCAGTGGATGGTTACCCACTAAAACTAGGTGGAGTTTCTCGGAGACGAATGAGAACCTGAAAAGGATCACAACCAATCGCTTCTCACTCAGAGGGACTAGAGCCGAACCTTTTTATCCATGCCCAGTTCAGCAATGAGCTGAGACAGCAGGTTGTCAAGGGCCCCCTTGTCTTTCTCATCCTCTCCATCCAGGTCGGTCGTGAGCATCAGAATGACCTGGAAATCAAAGAAAGGAAAGAAAAAGGCAGTTCCCTAAAGAACAGTAACTCAAAACACAGATGTTTCAGAAGACATCCTGATCTTCCTGCCCTTCTGTCGATTGTAACTACAACCCATTAAAGAGTTCTAAATTCCAGGTTATCCAAGGCCCAGTGTCCAGAAGCAAATTTTAATATATGCCACACTTGGCATTATAAAAAATGTTTGCAAAAGTAAATGACTAAAGTGGCTTGAGATAGGGCAGAGTGCTCAGTTAAAAATTTAGAAACAATTTTGCCTCCAACAATTTTGCAGCTAGTGAAAGAATAGCTGTGAGAACCCCACTCTAAGAGACACACACAGAAACGCTATAACTAAGAATCTCAGGAACAGGCTTTTGCTCTAGGCTCTGTCAACAAACGCCTAGATGACACTGATACTGTTAGAAACTTCTCCGACCTCTTAGCTTTCTTTCTCATCTATAAAAGATGAGATTCTATCCTATTAGTCTGTGACCCAACACAAAGAAAGTCTTCCAGGTCCTACAGAGAGGGATGTGAGCATACTCAAGGATAACCCAACTATAGTGAGATAGAGCCAGCTGAACTGAGGGATACCTGCATGTACGGGATGGCCCGGACACCTCCAACATTTCGTAATTGGGGCAAGGTCTGCAGTAATCTCTCCAACAGCATCAGACGGACCATGTGCAGCCTGAAGGCCAAGGAGAACAGACGAAACATGAGCCAGAACGCAAGCACAGCAGCTGAACGGAGTCCTTCCCTCCTGACGCTAAGGTAAGCAAGGAGCCTCACGCTTAGGAACAACCCTAGCATTACAAAAATGTTAACAAATGCCTATTTGGTTTAAGAGCGAAGTAGAAGAAATGTTATCTTGTTAAAAGGAATACCTACTATAGGAAAGTTAAGACTATGTCCCAAACTATCAAGTCCTAGTTGCTCTTCAGTGTCAAACTGAAACTCCAATTGTAAGACTTACAGCATTTTCTATCACATGGCCCTATTCTGCCTCCAGGCATGATTTCCTAGAATTTTTCTACATACAAATTCTGTATCATCCAGTTGCACAGTGATCCAACTCTTTCTTTTTCACATTACCCAAGACCTTAGGAGGGCCAGTCACCGCTGTACTCTAACACCTGTCTATTACCCTGAGTGTACACTCGAACCTCAATTCCCTTTTGTCCTACAAACACCCCAGTTTTTCTACCTCCCCCTCTTCGCCTGAAGAGAAAGCTGACCTGTAGTAGGTGTGTGCCCATGGATCTATAGCTGAAACGCTGAATCAAGAGGAACACTATGGAAAGTTAATTCACCTAAGGCCTACTGACTAGTTGGTTGGCAGTCTCACTTATCACACAATCTCACACAGATTAAGAGAATTCCTGAATAAATTAATGAATTCACTTTCATAATCAATAAACTGCTTTGCCTCATTTTACCTCAAGTACTATTTGTTAAAAAGAAAAAAACCTATATGCCTATATATTTATTTAAATGTGAGATTTTCAAGTATTACACATCTTAGCATATCCGGAATATTTCCAGAAGTAATACAATGTGAACAGAAGCGCAGGCTCTTACTAGAATAGTGATTCTCACTCTAAAAACAACTCAAAAGAATAAGCTAGTTATTCTTAAAAAGCCCATGTGTGTGTCCAGTAGTAATTCGGCACACTGGGCCAGCCGGTGACATGAGGGTTCTAAGGCAGCTGGATCACACATAGCCCACTGCATGGTTTGAGTTTCAGACCTGGCAGCTTAAAAAATATGCCAGTTCCATGTATGTGTCTGCCCAAAATCCCAAGAAGAGAATGGAGGAGAATGACTGTGGTATGGCCATCTCCCCCATGGGGATATTCTCTCTCTCTCTCTCTCGTACACATACCCCATGGCAAATTAAAAGAATGAAAAGATTATTAGGCAAACTGTGTGAGGACTAGAAGCAAATGAGAATTGTTCCGGAATGGATAAGGTACCAGTGAAAAGGTGAGATGACAACAGCAGTTCAATAATGCTGTGACTAAAGCGTCGTAAGCGGGATTCGACATGGGTTACTGTCTTCGGATATGGAGAACACATATGTGAAAGGAAAAAGTCAGTAAAGTGAACAGTCTGGACCCAGCCAAGATCATGCCTGTTTGTTTTCAGAGTCTTAGATGGTGCACTTGAAATTTAAAATTAAACACTATACTAAAAATTGTCATTTTCTTTTTTTTTTTTTTAGTGACTTAAAATAAAATTCAGGTTTAATATAGAATAATTCACTGAGAAACTATTTAACTTGTTTGGGAACCAGCAGTTAGCATAAAGGCTATGTCACTGGACTCCCACGTAGTCGACCGCGGTTCACGTCCTGGACCCGGTGGCTTAAAACTCACGCCGGGCACGTGTGCGTGCGTGCCCAAGATTCCGAGAGGAGAATGGAGGAGAAGGGACTGCGGCGTGACCATCCCCCCTGGGGGGTGATTTCTCACTTTCTGTCTCTATGTCTCTCTCTGTCTGTCTGGCGAGCGCACGCGCCCTATAGTGAAAAAAAACCTCTCAAAAAAAAAAAAAAGGGAGTACTGATATATGTTATAACATAAATGAACTTTGAAAACATTATATTAAATGAGATAAGTAAGACACAAAATATATATATTGTTGATCCCATTTATATAAACATATCGGGAAGGCCAGCCAGTGACATGGTAGTTAAGGCAGCTGGATCCCACATGGCCACAGTGTGATTCAGTCCCAGATCCAGCAGCTTGAAAGATATGCCAGGGATGTGTGTGTGCATACCCAGAATCCCGAGAGGAGAATGGAGGAGGGAATTGTGGCATGGCCATCCCCCGCCAGGGGTGCTTTCTTACTTTCCCTTTGTCTCTGTCTCTCTCCAGCAAGTGCATGCACCCTATAGCAAACTAAAATAATGATAATGATGATGATCATGGTGATGAAAAAAAGAGTCAGATAAATAATTATTGCAGAGTTTTGAAAATTAGTAACTCTCGATGATAGGTAGAGATTGGGCTGTCAGGTGGCATGGTGGTTAAGGGCACTGGACTCCCACATGGCCAACCATGGTTCAAGTCCTGGAACTGGTGGCTTGCTTTCTCACTTTCTTTTTCTTACTCTGTCTCTCTCTGGTGAAAATTATAAAAATAAAGCTAAATAAAATAATTTTTAAAAAAGGAAAATTATTGACTCTGGATGATAGATAAATAGGAATTAGATATATTATTCTCTTTACTTTTGAATATGTTTGAAAGTATTCATAAGATTTTTTGAAAAGCAAGTTGTAGAAGACATATAACATTATTCTTGGGGGCCAGCAGGTGGCATGGTGATTAAGGATGCTGGATTCCCACATGGCCAACTGCGGTTTGAGTCCATGCCTATTTGGTTTAAGAGCGAAGTAGAAGAAATGTTATCTTGTTAAAAGGAATACCTACTATAGGAAAGTTAAGACTATGTCCCAAACTATCAAGTCCTAGTTGCTCTTCAGTGTCAAACTGAAACTCCAATTGTAAGACTTACAGCATTTTCTATCACATGGCCCTATTCTGCCTCCAGGCATGATTTCCTAGAATTTTTCTACATACAAATTCTGTATCATCCAGTTGCACAGTGATCCAACTCTTTCTTTTTCACATTACCCAAGACCTTAGGAGGGCCAGTCACCGCTGTACTCTAACACCTGTCTATTACCCTGAGTGTACACTCGAACCTCAATTCCCTTTTGTCCTACAAACACCCCAGTTTTTCTACCTCCCCCTCTTCGCCTGAAGAGAAAGCTGACCTGTAGTAGGTGTGTGCCCATGGATCTATAGCTGAAACGCTGAATCAAGAGGAACACTATGGAAAGTTAATTCACCTAAGGCCTACTGACTAGTTGGTTGGCAGTCTCACTTATCACACAATCTCACACAGATTAAGAGAATTCCTGAATAAATTAATGAATTCACTTTCATAATCAATAAACTGCTTTGCCTCATTTTACCTCAAGTACTATTTGTTAAAAAGAAAAAAACCTATATGCCTATATATTTATTTAAATGTGAGATTTTCAAGTATTACACATCTTAGCATATCCGGAATATTTCCAGAAGTAATACAATGTGAACAGAAGCGCAGGCTCTTACTAGAATAGTGATTCTCACTCTAAAAACAACTCAAAAGAATAAGCTAGTTATTCTTAAAAAGCCCATGTGTGTGTCCAGTAGTAATTCGGCACACTGGGCCAGCTGGTGACATGAGGGTTCTAAGGCAGCTGGATCACACATAGCCCACTGCATGGTTTGAGTTTCAGACCTGGCAGCTTAAAAAATATGCCAGTTCCATGTATGTGTCTGCCCAAAATCCCAAGAAGAGAATGGAGGAGAATGACTGTGGTATGGCCATCTCCCCCATGGGGATATTCTCTCTCTCTCTCTCTCGTACACATACCCCATGGCAAATTAAAAGAATGAAAAGATTATTAGGCAAACTGTGTGAGGACTAGAAGCAAATGAGAATTGTTCCGGAATGGATAAGGTACCAGTGAAAAGGTGAGATGACAACAGCAGTTCAATAATGCTGTGACTAAAGCGTCGTAAGCGGGATTCGACATGGGTTACTGTCTTCGGATATGGAGAACACATATGTGAAAGGAAAAAGTCAGTAAAGTGAACAGTCTGGACCCAGCCAAGATCATGCCTGTTTGTTTTCAGAGTCTTAGATGGTGCACTTGAAATTTAAAATTAAACACTATACTAAAAATTGTCATTTTCTTTTTTTTTTTTTTAGTGACTTAAAATAAAATTCAGGTTTAATATAGAATAATTCACTGAGAAACTATTTAACTTGTTTGGGAACCAGCAGTTAGCATAAAGGCTATGTCACTGGACTCCCACGTAGTCGACCGCGGTTCACGTCCTGGACCCGGTGGCTTAAAACTCACGCCGGGCACGTGTGCGTGCGTGCCCAAGATTCCGAGAGGAGAATGGAGGAGAAGGGACTGCGGCGTGACCATCCCCCCTGGGGGGTGATTTCTCACTTTCTGTCTCTATGTCTCTCTCTGTCTGTCTGGCGAGCGCACGCGCCCTATAGTGAAAAAAAACCTCTCAAAAAAAAAAATTAAAAAAAAAAAAAGAAACTATTTAACTTGTTTCTGAAAAAAAAAATGTTAAATATTTTTCTCACCATGGAGACTTCCCCATTGCCAATATGGCTAAGCTACCTTAATTAACCCTCCATCTAAAAACAATGAAAAATCCTAAAAAGATGTAAAAATCACTTCAGAAGCCATTATGAGTCTCAAGAAATGTCAAAAGATTAAAATCATACAGTATATGCCCCAACCACAGTAAAACTGAACTATAAAATTAATCAAAAAGGTAACTAGAAATCTCCAAATGTTTGCAAATTTAACACCATACTTGTAAATTTCCCATGGATCAAAGACAAAATTACAATAGAACCTGGACAATGTTTGCCACTGGATGGCAATAAAAATGTAACATACTCAAAATATGTGGGCCGCAGCCAAACCAAGGTTAAAAGAGAATTTTAGAGAGGAAGGTATAGCTGCAAATATGTATTTTTAAAAGGTTTGAAGTCACTGATTTATCCTCTATATCATGAAGGGAAGAACAGAAAGTGAGACATCCCTAAAACAGTAAGAATAAAAGTTAATAAGCGAAAGGAAGTATCGGGTTGTCAGAAAAG